TATTGTGATTTCATTTATGCCAGATTCCTAGGTGAATAATCAAGACTGAAATGGCACTAGAGTGACTCCCATAACATAATGAATAATACATGTCTGAGATCGGTTGGCCACATTCTGCCTTACTGGACAGCTAGAACACTTTCCCTGAAGTCATATTCTGATGCTTTTTTTCTTTGACCAACAAGCAGAAGGAAAGTTCTGAAGCGTAATAAGAGAGCCTGCTGAGAGGCAGCGCTCTCTTTTCCTAATGACAAGCATAAAAGACACACTTGAAGACCAAGAATGAGTGAAGATGGGCTCCCTTAATGGTGCAAGAAACATTTAAGCACTGCAGAGCTATAATGTTGCCCAAATGTTGCTCTTTTTTGCATAAAAAATAAATGCAAAATTAATTCAAAATGCAAATTAAATTTTGAGGTCAGGGGAGCTGTCCATCCCTTTCATGGGAGGAGAGGACTACAGAGATGGTCTCCATCCCTGTCAAACATCAATAGTTCATAAATTCCTATTGGTAATGAAGTATTTTAAGGTTTTGGCCAGGCTGTGACCTCCAGCAGTGGGTTCTGGGTTGGACTTTTATTGGTTGAAGACAAGCGATCTGCAGAAGATTTCTCTGTCCTGGTGCCTTCTACATAAGCTGGGTTACATCTCCCATCTTTCCCATACATCGTGGTCATGGCTGATTCATTTATTCTGGCATTGGGCAAAAAAAGTTTTCCTGGCTGACTCAGCAAGCCTGAAACAACAACAGCTCCTCCTAAAATATGAGTGTCACAGTAGTCTTCCTCCTTTAAAAAAATACAGTGTAACAAAAACATGTTTTGACTAAATGTGCTTGAAAATTGCCCCCTACATTACTACCTTGGTATTTGGGAGAACAAGGCTGCTCAGGATTGTGGGAGAAGAGGCAGTTAGTCCTGCTAAATCAGGGCCCAGAACTTCCTTTTGCAGCCGCTTGGGGCTGCAGGTGAAGGGGGTGGAGTCAGAAAGCAAAAGGACTGGCAGATGTTAGCTTCAGGTGCTCGCTGCCAGGAGCTAAGCCTTAGAAGAGCAATTTCAGCCGTTTGGAATGAGGGACAGGGGCACGGAAGGAACGGTGCTTGAGAGAAGGGAATGCAGCCAGCAGAGGCGGAATGGCATCCAGGGCGATCCCACATGGCCACATCTGCTCCCGGGGCCTGCCCTTATTCTCCCCTCCTGTGCAGGGTGGCCTCAGACTAAGCATGGACAAGCGCCCTGCAGCCGGTCACGCGGCATCCCGTGAACCGAGCACTGAAGGCAAGCCCACTGCTCGTGCGCCAGGGTGCATACAGGAGGTGCATGCCCTGTTTGGCCTTGCACCGTGGGTGAAAATGCTGCTAGCGTTTTATTCAGAATATTCCCGCAACCAAGTCAAAATGCCTCCTCCATTCCCCTAGATTTTAGCGACTGGCCCAGAGAGATTAGGGCCACAGTGCCAGATGGGCTAGGGCAGGGGTCGGCAACCTTAAGCACTCAAAGAGCCATTTGGACCCGTTTCCCACAGAAAAGAAAACACCAGGAGTCACAAACCCCTTTTGACATCTAAAATGAAGATAACACTGCATATATCGTTTTTTACCTTTATGCTATGTATAAAAAAATATAGTGTTGCATTTATGAAATCAATGAATGATTCTTTTATATAATCTGCACCTCTGAACGGTTTCCTGTGCCTGACTATTTCCTATTTCATATGCTACAAAACTAGCATATGTAGTTGAATTTGCAGACTTAACCCACTTCTTGAGATGATTTTTGCTCAGTTCAACCTTCCGCATCAGTTCCAAAATGGCTTTTTTCTCTCATCTCCATCTGGATATTTTTCAGCAAAGGCTGTGTGTTTATTCTGGAAATGTCTTGCAACATTCGACTTTTTGTTGTTTGCCAATTTCTCACCACATATTAAGCATACTGGTAAACCAGTCTCGTCAGCAGTGAAAGCAAATGAATCTGCCCACGTACCATTAAACGTTCTGCTTTCTTCTGAAACTTTTCTTTTCTTGGATTTATCCTTGGTTGGCCTACTGGGGTTGAAAAGCTCAATAAATCGCGTGCCGGCGGGTGTCGCGCATGGGCGGTTGTGACGCATATTTTTGAGCGGCAGGGAGCTGCAGCAGCGGGATGGAAGAGCCACATGCGGCTCCGCGGGCTGCTGGCCCCTGGGCTGGGGTCTCTCCCCACCACCACCCCTTAGTTCCCATACAAGAACTCTTTTCTGACTGCTAGGGGAGTGGCAGTTGATTTTGGTTTTGTTTCTTGGTTTCTGTTTTTGTTGTGTTTTTTTTTTTTTGGAAGAACCATTGTTTGGACTGGAATTTTGCAGGTCTAGTGGCTACCTGTTCAAAAAGTGCCATGGACGGGAGATGGCTGGGGCAGGTGTCAGCTGTCCTGGGGTCTGGGTGTCCTTGCCCCTGGCGAGTCAGCACGTTTGGCTGGCTGCTCACACATTACAGAAAATCCATCACCATAAAAAAAATCTATTTGCATAACATTTGCATATGCAAATTTATATGCCAAAGTGCACATTCAGAAGGAATAGCTATGATGTACATAGAAATACAACCCATCTCATTACCATGAAGACTGCTGTTGAGGTGAGCTGTGGGTTTGCCAAGTCTGCTATCCAGGTGCTAACTGTGGATGGACCAGTTCAGGGGCTCTGCTGGCTCTCCCTTCTCACAGCGCTTCATTTCTACATCATACTAGTACTGGGAAGCACCTCAAATAGAGGGCACCTTCAGATAGAGGATCCTCCTCTCCCAGATCCCCAAAAGAAAGGACTGTATTCTGTAAAGGAGGACACTCAGCTGCCCTACAGTGGGTTTCTCGATCCCTGAGGCCTGGATGTTGGTCAGCCCCACTCCCTGGCTCTTCTCCCCACTGCCACTAGAACTCAAGTGGTTAACAGAAGAGGGTGGCTCTTCCCCCTGCAAATAAATTGATCAGTATGCACAGCGTTTGTCACCAGCTGCATCATGGTCCACAGTTAAGGTAAACAGATCTGTGATGACACTTTCTGAGCAGAATACCAATGCAGCTCAATTTTTCCCAGAGGTTTCCAATACTTTCACAAATTCCTTTCAAAGGAGGGTTTGGTCCCAAGAAGAGAAAGACATCTTTGTGGGACTTTCTGTTGCAAAGGTAGGAGTTGCTGTGTTTGAGCGATTGGGTACTGGAGCCAAGTTTGGTTCTAAGAGGTGCGTGTGTGTATGTGGAGAGAGAGAGAGGAAATGAGAATTGTCTATAGCCTGTCAGTTGATTTGAAGTTTTTTGTTAAAAGATACAGGCACAAATATACTTGTACTTTAAATAGTCTTATTTATTGTGCTGTGATATGCATTTTTATGTTGCACTGATAACACTTATATGGAAGGAATAAGACTCATTTTAGAATGCTCTTTTTCAGTAGATGTTTTTGTGAGTCCTTCATTTTATTGAGGTTTCACTGCCAAATGTTTAAGGTGGCTTGGTGTTCCCCCTCCATAAAAGAAAAAGCATCCCATATTTAAATGCAGAGCATCTTTGCTAATCTGGTATCGCTGAAGGCAGGGGACCCACATAACAAATCACTCAAAAACCCAATCGTTTAAAAGTCTGCTTTTCTCTTCTTTTCATTATTGTGGATTACTGTTTGGGAACATGCGGATTTTTCCCTGGCTTTCATGAAAAATGGAGACTTGAATGGAAGGAGCTGGTGACTCAGAGAATGGAGTATGTTTTTTTTCCCTTTGCTATAATGAGCCTGGTACTTGTTCATCTGTTGCAAGCCTGTGTACATACAGGGGTTCAGCTGAACTTAGTTGGACTCCCTTTCAAGCAAGCATGTGCTTCAATTGATTGCCAGGGATCCAGGACCTAATTTAGATTTGGAAATAGCTACCCATAACATAAAAACATAGAAACACAGCAAGTCAGAAGGGGTCTCCGGGGCCATCTAGTCTGACCCCTGGTTCCAGCTGTCTCTGCTTATGTAATCCCCAACATGTGCCTGTCCAGTCTTCCCTTGGACACCCCTGAACACCACCTCCCATTCCATACCCAAAGGGTCCTAACCATCAGGAAATACCTCTTGACATTCAGCCTGAAATCTGGTTTCTTGAGCTTTGCCCCATTAGATTGCATCTTATCCTCCACCACAGGGGAGATCAGGTCACAACCATCTACTGTGTGACACCCCTCTGAGTATCCTCTCTTTGAGGCTGAAAAGATCCAGCTCCCTCAATCTTATCTCATATGGCATCCCCCCCCCCCCGCCCCCCTCAAGCTGGCTACTATCCTTGTGACCCTGCACTGCACTGATTCTAGCCTAGCTGTGTCTCTCCGACAATGTGGAGCCCAGAAGCGGACACGGTACTGCAGCTGTGGGTGCATCAAAGTTGTACAGAGTGATGGTTACACCTCTCTTGATCTAGAAGCCATGCTTCTGGTTATACATCCAGGGGTGATGGTCACCTTCTTAACAGCTGCATCACACTGCTAGTTCATGTTTAGCCTGCTGCTGACAAGTACCCTGAGATCCCTTTCACAAGTGCCGCTCTCCAGCCACTTGTCTGCCATCCTGTACCTATGGCACTATCTGTCCCAAGTGCAAGACCCTGCACTTATTCACATTAATTGCTATCCTGTCACCCTCGCCCACTTCCACAGTCTGTCCAGATCCTTTTGAATCTGGAGTACCTGCTCCCCAGTTGTGGCCACTGCCCCCACTTTGGTATCATCTGCAAATGACTGGTTACCTCTCCCCCAGGTCATTGATACAGGGGTTCAACAGAATCAGTTCCAGAATTGAGCCCTGGGGGACTCCACTCATCACCAGCTACCATCCTGTTGGTTCCCTGCTGATAATCATCCTCTGCTTGCGGTTCGCCAGCCATGCCCTAATCCATCAGGCAGTGCATTGATCTGTCTCGAAGCTAATCAGTTTCTCAACCAGGATCTCATGCAGCACCTTGTCAAAGGCCCTGCCCAAATCCAGGTAAACCACATCCATCGTCTCCCCTCTGTAGCCACATGAAATCTTGCCATGGAATTCCACAATGTTTGTCTGGCAGGACTTATTTTTGCAGAAGCCATGTTGTGTGGTTCTAGGGTTTCCAGAGATTTCCTTATTATTGGTTTTTCTGTTGTCTTTCCCAGAATGGACGTTAGGCTAACTGGCCCGTAATTCCCCTTGTCTCCTCTGCTACACTTGTTGAAGATGGAGACCATTGACGCTACCCTCCAGCACCGCTCTGTGTTGACATTCCAATCCCGCTTATCATCCCACCAAGCTTCTGTGCTCCCCACCAGGTCATACCTGCCTATTCCCAGGAGAGCCTCAAGCTCTTCCTGCTTGTTTCCCATGCTCCTAGCGTTGGTACACATAATCCCAGCTCTTTCCTATGAGCCCCATTCCCGAGCTCCCCAGCTGCCTCCTCCTCCTGTCCTCCCTGGCCCAGCAGGAACCCTCCGTACAGTAGCCATGCCAGCCCCTGCAATCCCTGCATCACCCTGATCTTGTTCCTTCACGTGACTGTTTTTGACGGGTCTTTGGGGATCCTGGTCCCCCCTTCCCAGGTCAGTTTAATGCCCTCCAGCTGAAGGTCACTAGAGCTTTCCCAAAGATCCTTTCCCCCATCCCAGTGAGGTACATCTTTCCCTTGCCAGAAGTCCTTCGGCGAGGAACTGGCCGCCTTAGCTGAGGAACCTGAAGCATCCCTTCTGACACCGTGCCATCGGCCACTCATTTGTCTCTGTAACCCTCCTCTCCCTGGTCACCCGCTGTGAGTGCTGTGGGTTATGTGGCAGAGTTTCTGTGCATGGAGACAGTCATTCTGAGCATGTACAAAGTGCTGTTTCCTCATCAAATAATTGACGTTGGGATAATTTCAAACATTCTTTTTATAGGAATAACTAGAAATATTTTAAGACATGGCAACTCAGTAGCAGGCACTGCCCTTACATTTGGATTCTGAGAGCAAAATAAAGGCATTGACAAGTGCTCAGCTGCTGATTTTAGTTGTTTAATTAACTATGCACCTAATTATATGAGCTTCTTAGGGATGGTCATCTGGAAGAAAAAGTAACATCCAGATTTGTTTTTGGAGTTAACAGGTAACATTGCAGTTGCCCCATTGGACCTGAATTGTTTTTATTAATCATGCCAATAATTAACTTTATGAAAAATGGATTTCAAAAAATGGGCAATTGACCAATTGATATAGTTGTGGAAAATTTTCCACTCCATATCACTGGTTCTGATTTGTATTCATGGAATATATTACAAGCAGCTGACTTATTAGAGGCTTCAGTTGCAGCTAGACGACATAAATAGAAGTTTTTCTCTCTCAGATTTCTCCTTAAAATGCTTTGCTTCCATCTGTCTGCTTGAATGCACTTTTGGAGGACAGTAAGTTTCTCCAATAAAACCTAATGTACCAGTCAGATGTCCTTAAAAATAATCAGCAGCAACAATGATTCTACTTAAAATATCTATCATTGCATTGGGACCGTAATGTAGGTTGTCTTTAAAAGGTATTCTTTAAGGAGATCCTCAGGCACAGTGGGAGGAGACCTAATTATGTCAGAGTTCACCTCTTCCATCTCTTTTGCTCGCTTCTGATTCAGCTAAATGAGAAGGAGTAAGACGCCTGGCCAATATTTCCCCCTGCCCTTACAATTGGTAGTTCATTGCTGAAAAATGGCAGGCATTAGAAACATAGAAACTGAGCGAGTCAGAAAGGGCCTCCCGGGCATCTCGTTTGACCTTGGGCTCCAGCTGGCTCCACTCATGACATGCCCACCATGTGGACGTCCAGCCTATCCTTGAACACCCGCACCGATGGGGCCTCAACCACCTCCCGGGGAAGCCCATTCCACACCCTCAGGGTCCTGACTGTCAGGAAGTGCTTCCTGGCATCCAAACAAAACCTTGGCTCCCTGAGCTTTGCTCCATTGGAGCGCGTTCTGCCTTCCTCTGCAGCGGAGAACAGGTCTCTAGCCACCTCCACATGACACTCCCTCAGATACCTGTATGTCGCCAACAGATCCCCTCTGAGTCTCCTCTTCTCCAAGCTGAAGAGACCCAGTTCCCTCAGTCTCGCCTCATACGGCATCCCCTGCAAACCAGCCACCAACCTTGTGGCCCTACGCTGCACTGACTCCAACCTGGCTATATCCTTCCTGTAATGAGTTGCCCAGAACTGAACATAACACTCCAGTTGCAGGTGTACCAGAGTCATATACAGTGGCAGTAATACCTCTCTTGATCTAGAAGCCACACTTCTGGCTATGCAAGCAAAGGTGACGTTCGCCCTCTTGACCACTGTGTCACAGTACTGACTCATGTTTTGCCTGCAGTCAACCAGCATCCCGAGATCCCTTTCATAAGTGCTGTTTTGCAGCCACTTGTCCCCTAACCTGTACTTATGACATCCATTTCTATGCCCCAAGTGCAAGACCTTGCACTTATCTCCATTGAACACCATCCCCTTGTCCCTCACTCACCTCCATAGTCTGTCCAGATCCTTCTGGATTTGGAGTACCTGTTCCTTAGTTGTGGCCACCACCCCCATTTTAGTATTGTCTGTGAATTTGACCAGCAGACTGGCCACCCCCTCTTCCAGGTCACTGATAAAAAGATTGAACAGGAATGGTCCAAGGACAGAGCCCTGGGGGACCCCGCTCATCACTAGGCACCATCCCAGTGATTCCCCACTAATATTTACCCTTTGCTTTTGGTCCGTCAGCCATGCCCTAATCCATCAGACAGTGCATTGGTCTATCCCAGAACTCCTCAATTTCTCAACCAGCATTGTCCCTTCTCAGCTGCTGGCTGGGCAGTTTGGGCCACCTGTCCCACAACCCCATCATGTTAAGCCTGGTCTTTGTTTTTGGTCTGTATTACAGAGATGGCATCGGACATTCCTGGGTCGGTGACATTGCCTGTCGCACCGATGGCAACAGGTCAAGTGAGAATGACAGGACCCATGCCTGCCAGAGGTGGAAAGAGACGATCAGGGTAAGCCAATTTCAGTTTTTCAAAGCAATGTGGAAAATCTCTTTTCTGCACATCAAGTTCTAGTTAACTTCCAGAGCTGTCCCAGGTGGTTGTTGCAAAAGTGGAAGGCCAGACGTACACTATCAGCTCAGTCGGCTGCTTTCCTGAAGACCTTCTGAGGCTGCTGCTGGCCCCCAAGCCCCCTTTTAACCAGTGATGGACCACTAGCCTGGGAAGCCACAATGCCCCGATTTCTGTATTCTTGCTTTGGGACACTGTGAGACATTTAAAAATGTCTCGTTTAAATTTCAGCCAGTATGTTGGGACAGGTGCTGACCATCAAGCCCTTCCCCTCATTCATCAAATATTTGGTGGTTCCCTGCCTTTCCTTCCTTCGCCCTTCCAAAAGTTCAAAATGCATCCTCTGAGGTAGGAACAGCTTTTAAACCAAAATACGCTTTTGGCCCTTCCCATTGGCCACTGGAGTGCACCCTGAGATCCAGTCCGCAAATGAATCTGGCCCTTGGCCCGAAGGAGGTTCTGCACCCGTGTCCTGGCAGGAACTTCACCAGGAGCCCTGCTGAAAATCAAAATGGCAGATCAGTCCAGCAGGGGGACCTGCTTGCTCAGTGAGGATGTTTTGCAACGGGGCCTCCCGAGCCTGGGGCTGCCCCGATACTTTGCTAGTAGTTAAGTTCACTGTTTGCATTAGGATCGGTCCCCGATGTGGCTGATGAGGGAACACACATGGCAGGGTTGGGTGCATTCCCCAGCTCTAGACCTCGAAAAGCTGCTGTTTCGGGGCAAGGGAAAGCAGTGGATTGGAGCTGAGCAGGTAGTTCTGCATCAGAAGAACTGAAAGGCTGAAGTGGTGCTCCTGTGGACATGATCCCAGCAGAAATGGGATTCTGCCAGCGGCGTCTGGTGGCTCAAATGCCAGTGTAATAGTGTATCCATTCTGAGCTTCACTTTAAATTCTCAAGGGGCTGTCCATGATGATGAGCCCAGTTGGGACTAGGGGTTGGGGTCAGCACCATAGGGTTTAGCACTGTGGACGGTTCCTTAAGAGCTTGGGCCGAAGTCCAGGGTCAATATACTTCCCCCTGATGTTAAGCCCCCTTGAGTGTAGCGAATTCTCTTGGAATGCAGCATTCCAAGTCAGAAAGCTCAGGCAAAAAAGTGGAGCAGTTGGAATGTATCCCGAAATGTCACTAGATGTTTTAGTGAGCCCTTCATTTTACTGTGATCTTCACTGCCAAATTTTAACATTGCATGTTATCCTGCCCGCCTCCCTCACCTTTAAAATCCTGAATTTAATTACAGAACTGTTTTGCTAATCTGGTATTGCTGAGGACAGTGGACCCACGTGTTACATTACTCAAACCCCTAATCATTTCAAGTCTGCTTTGCTCTTCTTGTGAATTCTGTTTAGGAACATTCGGATTTTTTTGGATGTCATTCATGAAAAATGCAGACTTGAGGGGAGGGAGATGGCAAAATGGTTTTTCCCCTTTGCTATAATGTGCCTTGGGCTTGTGCATCTGTTGCAAACCTGAGTACATGCAGAGGTTCAACTGAACTTAGTGGAACTCACTTTCAAGCAAGCATGTGTCTCACCCCAGTCATACAACACAATATCATAGAATCACAGAACAGTAGAGTTGGAAGGGGCCATGAAGAGTATCGGGTCCAATCCCCTGCTGTTGCAGGATACCAAGTTACACCATCCCATTCAAATAACTGCCCAGTTTTGCCTTGAATGTCTCTAGTGTGGGAGAACTCACAACCTCTCTAGGCAGTGGGTTCCACTGTTGCGTTACTTTGACAGTGAGGAAACGTTTCCTAATATCTAGCCTTAAACTGGGTAGACACAGCTTGAGTTCTGTGGCCTACACTCTGGTATCAGTGAGAAGAGATCTTGACCTTCCTCTTTGTGACAGCATTTCAGATGCTTATAGAGGGATATCATGTCCCCCCTCAGTTTTCTCTTCTCAAGGCTGAACATGCCCAATTATCTCAGTCTCTCCTCACAGGGCAGTGTTTCCAGACTCTGGATCATTTTGGTTGCCCTCCTCTGGACCCTTTCTAATTTTCCTGCATCTTTCTTAATCTTGCTGCCCAGAACTGGACACAGTATTGCAGATGAGGTCTGACTAGTGAGGAGTATAGGGGAATTACAACTTCTTGTGATTTGGAAGTAATACTTCTGTTAATGCATCCCCAAATCGCATTTGCTCTTTTGGCAGCTGCCTCACATTGTTGCTTCATATTTGCCTGTTGTCCACAATTACTCTGAGATCTTTTTCTTTTTCAGTTCTGTTGAACCCCGAATTCGCCATCTTGTACTAAGGCATTTGGGTTCCTTTTCCTAGGTGGAAGACTTGGCACTTGTCCTTATTGCATCTCATTCTGTTACATTCAAATTTATCAGGATCGCCCTGGATCTTCATTCTGTCTTCTAGGGCGTTTGTTATTCCCCCAGTTTTGTATTGTCTGCAAATCTGATTATTTTCCTTGTGCTTCCTCATCTAAATGAAGAGGCTGAAGCGCACTGGGCCCAGGCCTGAACTCTATGGCGCCTCACTAGTTACCTCCCTCCAGTCTGAGAAGGTGCCATTGATGAGCACTCCTTGTGCCCGATTTAGCAGCCAATTTTGGGTCCACTTAGTCCTCTTTTTGCTAATTTGCTTGTCAGAATGTTGTGGGGCATCGTCTTGAACGTCAGGGTAGTCGCTGTCCACAGGGTTCCTCGCAGTCTTAGCTGCAGCAGCGCATGAGCAATGTGAGATTAATAATGACCTCTCTTTCTTGGCTATTGTGATCCTAGCGAAGTAGTACATGGGTAACAGTTTGAGCATGATTTTAAAAAATGCTCAACGCTTATCATTTTTAAATCTTTTAAGATTGTTCTTCATGTTTCCCGGGCGTTTTTAGCAGGCTGTTAGGAATTTTTCTATAAGAATGGAGGTCAAAGTTCCCTAAAGTGCAGTTTGCCTCCCACTACCAATATTGTTTAGCCAGTGAGGAAGGTCTGGCATGTTCCAAGGTGGGGCTCAGCTTTCTTTGGGGCACAGAGGTCTCATCAGCACCGCTCCCCCCCCCCCACACACACACATGGTGTGCCCTGGAAGATATTTTCTCAGTCCTTGGTGCGATCATGGTTACGCAACAGACAAGCAGATGCAGAAATGGGCACTGAAAGGAGAGCGGCCATGGCAAGGTTTGCCCAGTTTGTAATGGACTGTGATGCTGCAGGACAAGTATTCATTCCCCTCCAGAACTCTTACTCAGATCGTAATCCAAGCTGGTGCATCTCTCTAGTGCTAGGAGCACGGCAGTGGCTGGAGCCCAGGCACCCTGGAATAATGTCACTTTTTGTAAACGTCAGGGACCTTGAATACCACATGTCCTAAAGCTTGTTTTGTTCTTCTGACTCACAGGTGTGCAGAATTAGCTCAAGCTCTCTGGTGGGGGTAGTGGGGCAAAATAGCTCAGTTTGCCAAACCCAGTTCCAAATCATGCCAAGGAGAATTCACCCAGAAGGTAGAAAGTTTGCCAGAATTCACTTCTGCCAGAAGGTAGAAAGTTTGAAAATGTCTGTTCAGCCAGTTATTGTTTCCCTGCTCTTTTCTATAAAATGCAAAACATGAGATCACTCTAAAAGAGTAGAGATGGCCCACTTTAGCTTTTTTTAAAGATGAAAAACGTAATATGCAACACAAACGTAACAATTAGCCTTGAGAAAAAGTGCATTGTATGGTGTTAACATATTTTCACTTCTGATGTGTGCCGTGGAATTGTGAGCTACCATAAAAAAGACAGAAGCAATTGAATGTGAATTTATCACCGGCTGGAATGATTGGGTAACCAGCAAGAAGTTTTAAAGCCGGTGTATCAGGATCAATAAATTACCAACTATATGATGAAAAATGAAAATTATTGGCTGTTTCAGCTGACTATACAAGGTAAAATAAATGGAAGAAGTATAAGAATAAGATCTTGGCTGAATAACCTTTAATGGTGAGTTGGGGGCAAATACAGTATTATTGTTCAGAGCAGCCATCCCTTAAAGACTTTTTAGCTATGATATGTCTGACCTCTAGTAGGAGAGGAGCTAAAGGAAGAATAAAATTCTGGTTAATAGAAAGATGGGTTTGTTAATCAACTAGTATTCTCGGCATTGCAACTTCAATCTCTCTGCTTCAGGTATAGAGAATGAGACTTATATGACTGCAAATCTCAAAACGAGTCAGTGTGGAGTAGTGAGTTTGGGCCAGTCACTGACTCTTAGACTAACCTACCTAACAGGGTTGTTGGAAGGATAAGATAAATCAACCCCGTGTCTCCTCTGTGTTCTTGGCCGTACGGTAGCCCGTGAATCTTGCCTTCTGTGAAGTACAGATGGAGAGCAGCTCATGGCCGTCACTTTTCAATGGGGGAACAAATGAGGAACATCATATGTACACCTTCAGCTGCTTCCTCTTAGCTCCATGTGCTGAAAATGTGCCGCTTGGTGCCCTGAAGCAAGAGAGTTAAAACCAGAGGGCTGCCTGGACAGGAGATTCTACCTGCACACACCTAGCATCTCAGGAGAACTTAGCAGCAAACAACTCAAGCTGCTCTTAAAATGCATGAGCAAAACATTTTGCTTCTACGCTACCCTGTCCCTTCGTGTCTCTTTCAGTACAAACTGCGATTGGCAAAACCTTTCTTTTTTATGGGGAATGAGGTTATAGACATGTATTTTGTTGAAACAGGTGCCAAATGGATGGGATTTAGGGACACTGATCTGGTGAAGGGGGGAGATTGAAGCAATACTTGCCTAGATGATAGGTGGAAATGTGGGATCTTTTCCTGGTGGAAATACTGTGAAAGCAATGGCTGAAGACCTGCCCTTTTGTGTGGTTCAGAACTGGGCCGCCCTTGGAGGGAAGGAGCGTTCATTGTAGCCAGCCCAGCTGGCCACTGGAGGTCACCCTTTCTCCACCATGACGCCATCATCACGCTTGTGTTTCACTCACCAAGGAATGAAAGGGTTCTGGAAGAATGCAAGATCTGATGAAAATGCATCATTTCCCCCACTCCCAGAATATAATTGGTGCTGGAATTGAGAGTGTGGACACAATCCAGCTAAAATTAAACACTTTTAATTTTGGTCATAGGCCAATCTAGCAAAGTGCCAAAGAGTTCCTTGCTAGAAATCTCACCTGCCAAATATTGCTTAATCCTATTTGCAAGGTCTTGTCAATTCCAAATACAGCAGCGTATTCTCAAGTGCAGAGTGGAATGCGCCTGCTCCCAGTATTACTTGAGGGTCATGTGAAGTGAGTTCTGCTGGGAAATTGTGCAGATCTGTGTGGGGATGGCACTGAAAAACTTGCTTGTGCAGTGTTGCTTTGCTCCCTGTGTAGAGATTCGTTGAAAGAGTTAATCACCCTGCTAATTACTCAGCCAGAGTGCTTGCCTGATCTGTATATATCCTTCCTCCTTGTGAACCAAGATCAACAGGTGGCAGTTAAGTCTATAAAAAGTTTAGCATCTACCACTAAATGAATGTCAACATTCTGCATTCTGATGTTTTATTTTTATTTTTAGTCCAGCAGTTATAGGGTTGATCAGGGTTTTATTCCTGTTGCATTTTGTGGCTGGTGTAAATAGTGCTTTCTATTTTACTTTGCAAATGTTATTGTTTCTGTTGCTTTGTGTATCACAGTTCCCCGTGGCTGGTGCAAGTGAATTTCTCTTTTGTTCTTGCAATGGCGCTGCTGGGTCTGGAGTTCTGCAGTCTCTGGTTGTGTTTGTTCCCCTACAGTTCGACAGCACCAAACCTAGGGAAATGCTTGTAAATATTCTTTCATTCTTCACAATCCTCAAAAGATGAGGAAAGCAGGCCATTTTGGATATCATTTAACACTAAAAAAATCAACCCCCCTCTTGATTCTTAATATCATGCTGCTTTTTTCACAGAAAGTTAAGATGATAGAGAATGTATGGGGTGCATTGAGAACACTTGTTTGGCTCTTGTCTGGAGAAAGCCAAGGGCAAACGGAATTCGAAGAGAGCACACAAAAGTAGCAAGTTCTGGGAATAACTAACTTTTCTCAGCAAGAGTTGCCATGACAAGTTTGCCAGAAGTTATTTCCTACTTTTTTTTTAATATGAGAGGTTGGAGCCAAAGAAAGCAGAGAAAGTAGGAAATCAGAGATCCTACTTTCCAAAAGTAGATGAGGTTGAGAAGGATGGATGCTTCACATCAAATCTGCATATATTTGCATATGGCAAAACAATTGTTCCAAAGGAAAAGGGGTGCTTTTACTAACAGGATAATCATTCATGACATTGCTTCCAGATTTTGTTGGACTCCATGTCCAGGTTCTGGGATGATTTCCCAAGCTGGCAGAATTGATTTAGTATTTTATAGCAGGGTTATTTATGATCAACCCTGACTTCTTTAGAAGGACAGATACTGCAGCTCAAATACTTTGGCCACCTAATGAGAAGGAAGGACTCGTTGGAAAAGACCCTGATGCTGGGAAGGATCGAAGGCAAAGGGGGAAGGGGGCGGCAGAGGTGGCTGGATGGGGTCGCTGGTGCGGTGGGCGTAGAGTTGGGTGGGCTCCTGGAGGCAGTGGAGGACAGGAGAGCCTGCCGTGCTGTGGTTCACGTGACTGCGACTGCGACTGCGACTGAGGAAGGCAAGGCAAGGCGTGTGGAATTCCTTCCAGTTCATTTTTGATCAGGATTTACCCAGTTTGCACATCCCAGACTGAACGGAGACTCAGCTGCAACCTGCAGTGAATGTCTGTACGGTTCTGAATTGACAGTGTAATTTGTTTAAAAGGCCTTTGACAGCATGCAAACATTTGAAAATGCATGAAAAATGTATGCTTTTGAAAAATATGCAGAAAGGTGCTTTAACTGATGAGAGAAGGATGCAGTATTTCCATGATGTGTGTAATTGATATGCATATTTGGAAAAAAAATAGATTTTTTTCCATGACAATGAGGAAACAAGCCGCACAGTCTGATGTGGGCGTGGTTTGCATTAGAATTTGGAGAACTTGAGTTTACTAATTTGCACCGTCCTCCTTATTATAGCGGGGCAAGCAATGCACTTCTAAGCAATCTCTTGTATCAGAATACCTGCATAACCTTGGTGGCAGTTCCTTGGGCTGAAGGTACTGCTGCCAAATGCTTAGCCAGTGAATGGGAAATGAATGTGGCGCATTCTGGTAACTCTTATCATTGAATGCAGAATGGGTAACTGTGGGGAACTGCAGATCCTGGTGGAGAAAATGGTTTCTGGAAGGCATTCAGTCATATCAAATAACCCCTTTTTGCACTAGGGAAACGTTCTCCTCTTTTCCTTCTAAATTTTTTCAGCCAGACAGTTGACCATGGCAGGTGAGAGACAGAGAGACAGACAGGCAGACAGCACGTGGCATGACTCTCTTATTTCTTAGCTACCACTCTGATTACGGGCAGAGTTCAAAGCGCTGGTTAGGATCTCTAGGGCCATGCCAGGCTAGGGACCAAGTTTCCTGAAGGATCATCAGCTCCCCGTGACCGGTGACTGCCCAAGTCCTGCAGTCTCCTGGAGAGGTCCTTCTCTTGGGACTGCTGCCCTCAGAGTCGCCTTTGGTAGTGATGGAAAAGAGGGCCCTCCAGTGGCGGTTCCCAGGCTGGGGCAGGCGAGGGTCACGCTGCCATCCTTCCTCTAGCAGGCAAAGACCCTTTCATTCAAGCAGGCCTTTGGTGCATAAGTAGGTCTGTTGCTGAATTGGATGTTGCCTTTATTCTGTTACTACTGTGTTCTATTTGCATTTTAAGGCATTTATTTTATTAGTCACTGAGTTGTAATTATGAGTGCTATTTTCCTGCCAGAAAGGCAGGGTCCATATCGGCCAAATAAATACACACACTTGCTTCTTAACGGTATTAGAGACCACGTTCTCTGCTACAAAACATGTCAAGCGTATCAAAACACACTTTAGTGTAAAAATTTTAAAATACTGAGATCACCAGTCGCCTGCCCCTGCTCCACATGACAGTGCTGTATTTGTTTCAGATTAGTTTAGTAAAAACAAGCAGTTTGGATAGGACTGTGAATAAAATTATTGTTTGTGTTGTGTTGTTTTTGAAAAGGCAATAGAGGAAGTAGCAGATAAGAAAGACCCCCCCTCCCCCCCACCACCAGAAAGAAAGTGTACTTTCTCTGTTGTTAAAATCAGGTTGACTGATTGAGAAAACAACTTTTTTTCAGAATGGACTTTGATGATGAAGATGGTGAAGGGCCAAGTAAATTTTCAAGGTAAGTGTTGTTGTTTTTAGGAAGAAATATGATTCAGCAAGGGGCCCGGCAGGCAAACAAAACAAAACAAAACAAAACAAAACAAAACAAAACAAATCACAACACTCAGGTGATTGAATGTGTGAGTTTTAATTGTCCGCATCCATATACATATGCATTTACATTGCTCAGAGCATTTGCTCAGAAGATGAGAACATGGGAAGAGGCATGCCAGGTCAGACCATCCAGGTCAGTGTTCTGTTTATGCTGTGGCCAGCCAGCTGCTTGCGGGAGCCTCACAAGTGGGACATGGGCATAATAGTACCCTCCCTCGTGGATTCTTACTCATGAGATTATTGTTCTGAACTTCGCTTGATACCGTATGGAACGTTTTTAAATAAAGGGCTCTTGCCAGCTCATAAGCTAAAGATGTTTAGGCAATGCTTACAATTGTCTTATCAGAAATCTCCTTAAAAGAGGCATTTCCAATTCCTTTTATAGCAATAGGGAATGACTCTCCTGACTTGGTGTTCTCCATTCTGAGATTTTTTTAAAAAAGTACCTTTATGTTTATTTTTAAATGTTTTGAATTACTACACATTTTTGGTTCATCAAAATGATCTGATATTCAAAACCAAATTCCTCTGTTTGGAATTCTTTAATATTAAGTGTGTATCTTCCATAAGAGGTTCTGGTTGCTGAATTGTGGAGTTCCAGGGGGAACACTCTCCCCCCCTCAAATAGATCCTGGAATCTATAGTTTGCTTGGCCCTATATCAGCGACTTAATATTGCAGCACTATTTCAGAGATTATATTTTATTACAGAATTTACAGGCCTCCTTTCCAGTTCCAGGATGGAAAGGCTCAGTAGTAGATGGATTGGATGCCAAAATAATTTTTCTTCAGGTTGGCAAGACTGCTGTGTTTTGGGTTACTCTAGAAAGCACATTGGAATGACCAGGATGTCACCCATAATATGTTAAACTCTCTAAACTTTTATTGCCTTGGTTTTATTGCACTGTCCTCTCGGAACCCAAGTCAGCAGTTTCTCTTGGAACAAATGTGTCCACAAAGGAGCATTTATATGAACGGTATCCATGGAACTCCTCTGTCCATCGGCCATATGTGCCAGTTTGATACACTGTTGGCGTTAAATATGGTTGAGGAAAACAGCCTCTTGTCAGCTGGTTTTTGAATCCCAGGGTTTTTTTTTTTTTTGGTTGTTTCTTTATCGAATTTCATGGAAGCATCATGACAAGAGAGGAAGCTTCCTCCCTCCTCCTCCTCCTCATCATCATCCTCATCTTGCAGGGATATGTGTATCTTTGTGTGTACTGGCTATGAAGAAGTAGTATATTACGATTCTGTATGTTGTGAATGTCAATGTGATGTCACAACTGGAGAGGCACGACAGCAGCAATGTCAGCTACACATACCAGGCCTCCTGGAGTTCAGTGTTGCTCTCATGAGACTTGGCTAGCCTCCAATTCAAACACACCCTCTGGTGATACTTCAAGGAGGAGAGCAGAAGCACTTGCTTATACTTTTTATCTAACCACAGTGCCTGCCCTGTTACAAAGGAATTCATGGTAACTGTGGATAGTTTTAAAGTAGGGTTACCTCAAACAAGCCAGAATCAAACTGTACTTTAGGATCCTAACTCATTTGCATATAAACTACTACTTAATTTAAAACAGGAATGGGTATTTTCACCTCCCAGTCCCACCCCCTTGATGGCCTGCAAAATAGATATATCAGCTTTGTTGGTGTGGGGAAATGGCATCCACAGCTGTTGTGGAGCATCAGAGGGGTCAAATTTGGCTTAAAAACCATTGAGCAAAATTCTACCATTGCAATGCTGTGTAGTCCTTTAACAATGCTATTTGGGAACGCTGGGGCTGTCGGAGCTGCAGGGTGTAATGGTGATGGGAGCACATGTTGCCCACCCCAATTTAAACTAACCTGTTTCCTGAGTTTACATGGAAGAGGAACTTTTACGTGGAGAAACAGGGAACCCATGTGGTGTAGTGGGAAGAGCGCTGGGCACAGGCTCAGAAGCCCTGAGTTCCAGTTCCCACTCAAGAATGAGGTGCCCTGGGGGACTCGGAGCCAATCACAGGCTCCCAGTCTAACCTGCCCCACAGGATTGTGGTTGTGAGGGTAAGAGGAGGACCACATAACCTGCCTTGGGTTCCTTGCAAGGGGAAAAATACAATAGCCAGGTGTGAATGTAGCTATTGTACTAACAATAAAATAAATAAAACCAGTAAAAGCTTGTAAAAACTTAGTCTTCTCCTACAGTGTACAAGGAGCATATATCAATGCAAAGGTTTGGCAGGCTCATTCCTGTAACACTGAACTACAGTGACCCATTGTAAGACTTGCCATGTATAGACTTCTTATGTTCACACAAGGATATTTTTCTCGATGCTGTTATTATCCTGGATCCCACGAAAGCTTCATATTGATTTATCAAATCGTTTTGCTTTATCTTACAGGTATGATGATCAAATCTCTGGTGATAAGGAATAGTATGCAAGGTACGCGCTGAGAGAACAGTGAGGGATAACCGTATCCTAACCCAGACCCCAAGCTCTTTTGTCTTTTGCTTCTCAACTTTGGGAGCATCTTCCTCCCTCGTCCCCCTTTGGGTAGTCAAAATAATGGCTGATCCAAGCCAAGGATGTCCAAGTAAGAGGACAGGACTCACCAAAAAGTTGCAAACTTGGATTGATCTTTTTCATAAAATGGTAACAGAGCCTGCTTGTAATGTTGGTGCTCTTACAGGGAAGAATGCAAATCATGGACACAGGTTCCCTGTGAAGCTTTCAGGGGGTTATTCTGAACTGAATAGCATGAACATCACCAGCTGTCAGTACACAATGACCTTGGTCCGGGTAACCGTGGCTTGCAATCCAAGTCAATGGCTTCCCATATATATTGTAGAGCTGTTAGGAATGCCCATGGATTGTTAAAAAATGTTCACCTTGGTCTGCCTGAGACCCTGGAGAACAGCTGCCTGTCAGAATATGCATTCCTGGATCTCACCAGTATTAAGCAGTTTGTGATGTTCCAACTGAAACATTTCAAATTAAGGACAAGCTAGCATTTCAGAGAAGCTAAAGTGCAGTGCTGAATAAAAACAGACAGAGCCAGTAAGGAATGAAAGTGGGCAGACATGGTCAGGTGTCTGAGAGAGAGCAATGTCAGCACCAGACTAATTTGCCTGTGTGAGGGAATTGTAGAACCCGGGGCCACTGCATGAAAAGCTTTCTTGGCAGAAGTCTCTTGCCTCATCTCTGAAAGCTAGAGCACCAGAAGAAGTGTCTCAAATTTAGCTCTCCATCCATGGACAAGCTTAGGTGTGTCCCGTCTGCTGTGGATATCACCAGCAGGGACCACACTGGATGCTCCCATGTCCCAGAGCGCGCCTAGATGGGTTGCTGTCCCCCTTCCACCTATTTTATGTATTTAATATATTTATTGCTACCCTTCTTTCTTACAAAGAACTCAAAGTGACTTGTGCTATTCTTTTCCTCTTGCTCTCAATCTTATCCCCACAACAACACAGAAAACAGAGTGAGTCAGAATGGGCCTCCCAGGCCATCTGGGCTGAGAGTGTGTGACTAGCCCAAAGTCACCCAGTCGGTCCCATGGCTGAGCAGGGACTAGAACCCGGATTGCCTGAGTGCCAGTCCCACGCCCTTAACCCCACTACGCCACACTGGCCCGCTTGCTCTCTGGAAGAATCAGAATCAGGATTCCAAGAAAGCTACCTGCTGTGGAGAGCCGAAGGCATACCAGTGTAGCCGCCCGCTTACATCTTGCAAGTTACCCTCTAGCTGGACATGGGCAAGCAGCTCTTGGAGACACACAAGTGCTGGGCACATGCAGCAAAATGTCGCAAGCAGTGTGGGAAACTGCTCTGAACAAGCCCGGCCCACTAGGTGCTCGTCTCTGGTGCAGTGGGCTTTGGGAGGCCGCTGTGCTCTTGAGCTGAATCTCTGGACTCGGGGTCTGTAAGCGGTTGTCTTCCACAGAGATCACAGGGCACATATACTAGCTAAGCAAGCACTCCGAGCATTCAAACCGTCACAGTTAACACAGGGTACAATCCCTGGAACTCCCGCACAGCGTAAATGACCACTGTGAAAAATTGGAAATGTATATCAAAATGGGTAATTATCTGTTTCTTTATTTATAGCTTCACTTTCATTAAAATAAAGCAAGCTACCAGACTTGATGCTTCTGGAAAATAAGCCTGTTCGTGTGTGCATGACAATGCCTGCTGGTACATTGCAAGCCTAAGGCTGACTGAGTAACGGTCTCTGGTCTCAGCTGGCCCCTCTCCAAGGTTCTAGCAAAGCAAGAACGAAGTGTAGCCATGCTCGATCATACAAGTCGCCCGATTTATGCACATTGCACATTCAGCCTTTTGTAATGCAGAAAGTTGGGTTGGCTAAATGCAGAAAACTTAGTTTATTACCATTAAAAAATAGCCTGCTTAGCCATGGACAGAATGCTTTTTTGTTTTTTGTTTTTTTCATCAAGACAAGAATTTGCTGAGAAGGTTGGTTCAAACAAAGGAAGGACTTCACATATCATCACATTACCGCATCTTGATTTGAAGGGATGCACACGGGAAATGGTCGAATTCCTTGTTGGCTTCAAAGTGCTGGTTCCCAGCTCTGAAATCCTGCATTCCCTTCTTGGAAACTCTTGGTGATCTCCTGCTCCAAGCTTAGACTGGGCTTGGAGTGGGCGGTGGCCCGGACATTTGTCGATTCGTTGCCCCGTACGGAGCTCCAGGTGTACTCCGGGGCACACATGGGGTCCCTCAGCTCGCAGAGGCCTGCTCTGTTCCTTTCAGTGGAGGAGGGAGATCTGCCCACCCAGAAAGAATGTGAATGTGGATTGTCTTCCTCCATTGCAATTAAAGGCTTTGTGGGCAGGGGGGCCCCATGTGTTCTCCTGTGCCTGAAAGAAATCACTGGATTTGGGGTTGCTGAACTTGGCCTTCCCAACAGCAAGAATGGACGACGACAATGCTTCGCCTTTGCTGCGCGCTCTGAGTCGCTCCCCGCGTGAAGGGTGCCGTGGCGAGGGCAAAGCATTCTTCGCTCACAAAGTGACATGGCTGTGGTGGGCAGCAAGGGGTTAGCGTGTCGCAGGAGCCTGCATTTTTGTGATGTGTGTGTCGTGGGGAGGAGGTGCACAGCTGCCCTCCCAGGAATCCCTGTTGGTGAAATGGAATCTTCCATTTTTAGAAGTGTGGGGTGGGAGGTGCTTGTCCCCCTGGCAGTTTTGTGTGGAGGGTGTCACTTCTTTTCACAAGACCGGAGGACAGCCTGGAAGATGGGGGGCAAGGAACCCCAGGCCCAGGGAGCAGAACTGGCCTGCCAAGCATTTCAGCCTGGTCACCAAAGTTCTCAGGGTGGCCACCCCGCTTTCCCCTAGATGTAATTGTTCAGCATTTTCCTGGACTCTTTGCTGTTTTTCTCCTGCCTAAAAACCTGAGGTGCCTTTCCTTAGTTCCTAGCAGTAACAGCTTTGGGGAACATGTCTTAATTTTGGGCCCCACATCCCCCCCCCCGCACACACAAACACATGCCCTGGAATTCTGCTCCTGAGACCATCTCTGAAATTAGTCAAGTATTAGGGCTGAAAGAATTAACCCTGATGTAATGTATAAGTGGGGTTTGTCAGATTAACCAGCTGTAGACCCCTTGGCCACCGGTCAGGAATGGCAAGAGTTGTAGTCCCACAAATGCTGGAAGGCCAAAGGTCCCTTTTCCAGCTGTAACAGGACAAAGGCAGGGTCACCATTGGGTTGGGGTTAAAAATGGCCTAATGACAACCCAGTGTAACTGCAGATTGACTCTCAGTGCAATCCTGTACCAGTCTTCTCAGAAGTAAGAATCGCTGAGTTCAGTGGGACTTACTCCTAGGTGAGTGTGCTTGATTGCGGCCTTTCTTAGTCCCACAGAACTAAATGGGAGCCACTGGTTGCCATTGTCCTTGGGTTCCAGTTCTTGGGCACGCTAGAGTGCAACGCACCCCTCTGGACATTCTTTGAGCAATTGTGATTATTTCCAAGCACTGCATCTTTTACCGACAGCATCTCGCTTTCTCTCTCGGTTTGCTCCTTCTCATGTGCGTTTAGGGAGAACCATAGTGAGATCGAGAGACGCAGGAGGAACAAGATGACCCAGTACATCACCGAGCTCTCTGACATGGTGCCCACCTGCAGCGCCTTGGCGCGCAAACCTGACAAGCTGACCATCCTGCGTATGGCAGTGTCACACATGAAGTCCATGAGGGGCACTGGGAACAAATCTACTGATGGAGCGTATAAGCCTTCTTTCCTAACCGAGCAGGTGGGTGGCTTTACAGAAACAAGAAGAAAAACGAATGCAGAAACATAAAACCAGAATTCATGGCGTGATAAAAATGATGACCAAATTGCAGCACAGCACCGTGGGCCTCCTAAAGCACCACCATAAAATCCATTATAAACACCTAAAAAGCCTTGGCAAACCAAAAGGATTCTTGTGTGCACTGAAAGGGAAACAAAGCTGGTGCCAAGCGGACTTCACATGGGAAAGGAATTCCAACAATCACGTACCACAATGGAAAGGCTCCTGCCTTCTCTCTTCGCCCACGTCATCGCCAGTCGTCATCACCTGGGCTAATTTTTATTTGTCCTTAAATTTGACACCCAAATGAGCAAATGGGCAGGAATGAGAGATTACCTTTTGGCAGTGGGGCTCATTTTCACAGCTATTCCTGGTGAATGTCACATTATTTGCCCAGAATTACCTGGAATGGCACCCATGAACAGTGATGGCAGATAGGTTTGAACATACGAAGTTAAGGAATAATGAAAGAGAAAGAAAAACCTGATGAATGTGTTGACAAAGTAAAGCAAATAATTCATCAAAAATGGCAATCCTGCAAATATATTATGAAACGAGAAAAAGGCTTGCTGACAGAACAAATGGAGTTGTAAAATAGCACAGGAAACCTTTGGTGAACTCTCTAAATACTTGTTTCTCCTTTTCTTGGCAAGGAACTGAAGCACCTCATCCTTGAAGCTGCGGACGGCTTTCTCTTTGTCGTGGCGGCCGAAACGGGCCGCGTGATCTACGTGTCGGATTCCGTCACTCCAGTTCTGAACCAGCCGCAGTCGGAGTGGTTCGGCAGCACTCTCTATGAGCAGGTCCATCCCGACGATGTGGAGAAGCTGAGGGAGCAGCTTTGCACGTCAGAGAACTCAATGACAGGTTAGCTGTCTTTGAGGGGTACCTTCCATTGTGCTGGGTTACTTGCTTTGGAGTGCAGGCTGCCATTTGGAATCCTCTTTGTGAGGATGCATGATGAGCCAGAAAAGAGCGGCCGAGCACTCATACTAGCCAGGGCATGCTGGGAGTTACAGGATTTGTCTAATTTATTTATTTACTTAACTGGGAACTGTGGGCGCCATTTTATGTGTTTATTCATTGCATTTATATCCTGCTTTTTTTTCTTTCCAAGAAACTTAAGGCAGCTTATGTAATTCTGCTACTGCTCCTCGTAATTTTCCTCCGCCTCTCAATGTTATCCTTACAACAACCATAGTAGCTATTGTATGAACGAGCAGATCCCCTGCCTCCATTTGACACGCTTTCAAATTTCTAAAGGTGCCCACCAATCCAAGATGTTTCACTGATAATGCATCATGTACATTTAGTTCTCTTCCATTCTGTGTTTGCCAGCAATGCGTTCATGGTCAGAAATCAGAGTAAATTGGTGTGGTTTTTTCCCCCCAGACAAATTCCCCATACTGTGGAAGATCTTATAAGGCCAGAAAAGCTGCTATTGGAGCTGGTTCCTTGGAAGTGGATTGGCTGAAGTTTCTTTTCCTGCCACTGGTGAAAGGGGCCCCTGTGGAGCAGCAGTAGTTTCTGCAAGTTTTTCCCTGTTGGCACAACTTCCAGTATAGACTGAAGCAGGGCTGATTCAGCATATGGGGGAAATTTGGGCAAAATAGGAAATTGGTGCAAATCAAACTGGGAATCAGGAACAAAAAGAACCCATGTCTGACAACTGGCAAATATTTTCTGCAGGCTCATGCTCTGGTTTGCATTTGGATCTTCAAATGGAACATGCTTGTATGAATGCAAAATCCTTACTTATCCCTTGCATTGCCTCTCTCAGCCTGCCATTGTTTTCCCTGCTCTGAAATGTGAGATTATCAGCCTTGTGGCTCATCTTGTTTTGTTTTTCCATTGTATCACCTAAATTAATCCTCAGTGCTGGAGTTTTTAAAAGACCAAGTACACAGTTTAAACAGAGGGGGACGGGTGTCAGGACTCCCCCACCTTGTTTGTTTTTTAAAGCATGAGCACCTTAATATGTCTTTTGGCATTAAGAGTGACTAATATGACAGACAAGATAAACTGGGACAATTTGGTCCCTTCCTCTGTGGTTTTAATATACAAGGCAGATGGATGAGAACAAAGAGGTTGGCTGGCATTTTCTTGCTGGCGATAGAATGCTGATGTCGATAGTTTATGATTGTTGTGCTTTTTATCTTAGCCACAGTCTCAACTTTACTTTGGCTTACCCTTCAAGTTGGCCGTGCTGCTAACTTTCCTCTGTGTGTGTATTTTGGTCCACTCTTCTGGATCCGTGCACATTTCTTTTCTCTCTTGTTTTCCCTGTTCTTTTAAATGATTCTGTATTCTGTTTATGAATTTAACTTCCTTTTCCTTATAAGAGTGACCCTGAACTTTGTCTGTTTTTCTGAAAGCCTTTTTAATGTTTTTCTGTTATAAAGATATCTTTGGCAGATCGTCTAACCAGGGCTCAGAAAAATCTAATTCCTGGCCATGTAGAGTTGCATTTGGCTCTTGGGTGACATGCATTCCTGCTCTTTCTCAGATGCTGCAGGGAATGGCAGCACGCAGCCTCTGGGTGGCATGCCCGGGACCCCCACCCCCCACCCCATCCGGCGTGCCTGCTTTGCGCTCCCGCATGTCGCGTGTCTTCTGCTGCCACAGTGGCTGCGTTAGCCACTGTGGTGATGGCAGCCAAGGTCACAGTGGTTTTGCATGGAAACAAGGCAAACCTCAAAGGGGCCAGAAGAGGATGTGAATTTGCATAAGACCTGCATGTGCTAATGCATATGCATGAACGGCAAAGTTAGAAATGGTCATTATCGTTTCAACAGAAATACCAGACATTTCAGCATAGTGGGGAAGAGCAGGACCAAGCAACTGGTGTGCCTCGCGCTTCGGTCTGCTGTTCAGCTGCTGTTGATGGGTTGTAATGCTTGATTCTAAAACTGGAACTGGACAGGACAGCCCTTCAGATGGGGAGCCCCTTCAGACAGAGGACAGTCCTTGGTCAGCTTGACTTAGACTGTTCTCTGTAAAAGAGAACACCTGGATGCTTCCCCCTCAGTGGGTCCTGGGGAAGACGCACAGCCCTTCTACCCCTGCACCTGTCTCACCCCTGCAAGATTTAATGTGATCTGTTTTGTGTGCATCCATACTTATTTGGTACACTCCTGCCCCTCCTTTCCTCACAAGCGCTTAAGGAGGACGATGTGCTTCTGCTCCTCCTATTTTTTATGTTCTCCATGTTGTTCTCCCAACGGCGCTGTATGGGTGGGCTAAGCTGAGGCGGAGAGATAGTGGCTGCCCTAAGAGCCCCCAGCCAGTTTCATGGCTGAGCTAGGATTTGAAGACGAGTCTCTCCAGGCCTTTTCTTAAATTCTAATTGTTTTAATGCCTCGGATGGATGGATGGATGGATGGATGGATGGATGGATGGATGGAGTGCCCTGAGGAGAACCCCACTGGGGTAGGCCGTCCAGGTCCCACATCCCTTTCCCCCACAGCAAGGCAAAGCCCACAAACAGGCATGGAACCCCTACCTCTCCCCATCTGGTAGTGCCTGGCATATCACCTCTGCTCATCCAGGATCTGCGCAGCCTTCAAGGATAATAGCCTTTTTTCTGTCGAGGGCCACATGCTTTTGGGGGCAACTCTTTTGGCACCTCAGGTTGGCTCTGGGCTGAGACAGAGCCAAAAGTGGAACAGCTTCTTTCTCCCTTGCACCCTCTTTCTCTTTGCCATGCTGGTGCTCCCATCCTCTGCCACCAATCCCCATCCTTTTTCCTCCTTGCAGAGTAGGGTGATGGGGCTGTTGAACCCCGAATTTTTTTGCACCGTCCATTAAAGCCATCTGAACTGGGGTCACTGCCAAAACTTGTGACGGAAAGGTCCGAGTATTTCCTTGTATCTACCTTGCATTGGATGCCATTCGCTCAGAAAAGAGGTTCTGGGGAAAAGCTTTCCTGGTTGTGGCAGATCAGCTGTGGAGTCCCTCACACTTGAAGCCCACCCGAGCCTGACGCTGCGAATATTTAGAAAGGGGCTGATACCCCTTCTGTGCTGCAGCATGCTTTGTGGGATCCAGTGACCTGGGCTTGGGACTTTCTGGGCTTAATAACTGCTGGAAAGTTTTAACGGATAGCATTTGGGTTTTTTATGAGGTTATTTCACATTCTTCTTGTATGCTTTGGCAAGCTAGGGGAAGAAGCAGGTTTAATGATATCAAATATATGTTTTTATTTTTTGAGGGCAAGTGGGGAAGAGCTCAGCTCTTGGCAAACTATTTAGGCAGTCCCAAACCCTTTTCCTTTTGCGGGGAAACAAAGTTTTGTACGGAAGAAAAGGTCAGCAGAAGCCTCAAAAACAACGCATGCTGTGATGGAGCCGCTGTTTTGCTTTTCTTCTGGCTCTATTTGTTGTTTCTTTAAAAAAGAGTCTAGCTTTCCACATGCAACCGGAGAGCTGCATGTGTTCTGCTGTCTTCTGCAGCCAGCAGCTGTTCTGTAGAAAGGCCATTCAAGGAACCTGGCAAGTTTGGGATGGTGAAACTTTCCCGCTTAACTTGCTTCATTTCCTGTGCTGAAGCACCTCAGCTCCAGCACTGGCTGCAGGAGGGACGTGTCCTGGATTGGCCTTGGCTGGCTCGGTCCTCTTCAGACATGTTGCAGCACACTTCCCACAAGGTCACGTTGGCTGGGAATGATGGACATTGCAGTCCAGCTCAGCTGGTAGAGAGTGGGAGTATTTGTTGGTTTTACTTAATTTCTTCATAATCTTTAGTGGTGGCCTTTTAGTCAAGCAGAGTTTACAAATTTTAGAACAATCTGTAGCAAAGGGGTGGGGGAGACCATACAGTTAAACCAGATTGCCCCCATTGGGGGAAGGCATGGGGGAAGGTTATAGTGATGGATGCCTCAAATGTCTCTTTGTCTCTCCCCTTGTGCATGTCATCCCCAAACCTGATCTAAAGTCACTGAGGGTACAGTTTTGTGGGACTGCCTGCAACCCCCTGAAATTGGAGGATTCTGAGTGTCATATGGCGGACAGGGAAGTGTGGCGGGGAAGGCCCCCTGCACAGCCCTCTCGCTCGGCAGATGCCTTGATGGCTGCATTTGGTTAAGTGCGTCGCTCTGAAGCAGGAGGAAAGGGGCCCAAGGGGGCTCCAGGACAGCTTGCTTCTTGGCAGCACTGCTCTCCTCCCTTTCCTGCCCCAGGATGCCCCAAAGGCCACTCAGCAAAACAGTGGGCGCTGTTCCTTCCGCAAAGCAGGAAGGGGTATCCGAGTGTGGTGAGTCTCTGATGAGGCTGAAGTGATTTTCCAGCCTTGGAAAGTCGATAAATGCGATGGTCATCGAGTGAGCAGAGGCTTGCATGCCTGTGGTCTAGATAAGCTGCAAGAAGCACGAAGCCATTGCCAGAAAAGCAGCCTCTGTTGGGTCCCCTGGCCTCCGTGATGCGTGACACAGTGCAGCACAGTGTCTGTCCGGGATTTCCAGACTGGGTCTTCCCAGCCCTGCCGCAGGACACCAGGGACTGAAGTTGGGTCCGTCTGGTTACAAATTGCCCTCAGCCACTAGCCTGAGCTTTCTCCCCATCTGTGGTCTGGGATAGCAGTGCCTCTGTAGGCGATCCGGCTCATTGTAATGGCCAGAATGAAAGTGTCTGCAGAGCGTGTTAAGGGACGACGTATATGTGTGCTTGCCTGTATTCTGGGGGCGGTTGGTTTAACGATTTTTTATCCCCACCTTTCTGTTTAAAAAAATCCATGAAAGAACTTAGCACATACCTTTAAAAATAATAAAAAAGGGTGCCACCAGTGAGAGCAATCAGTCTTATCTGCCCAATACCAGTGGTCATATTTGGAGAAGGGCTCTGAAGAGCTAAGTATGTAAATGCCTTTACGGA